TGTGCCAAATGTTTTTAAATGTATTATGTTACAGGAAAAGGGTCCCAATCCAGATCCCAAGAGAGGGTTCTTAGATCTCAGCAAGAATTCAGGGCACATCCATACAGTAAAAGTGAAAGCCAGTTTATTAGGAAAGTGAAGGAATAAAAGCATGACTACTCCGTGGCAGGAACAGCCTTGAGGGCTGCTGGTTGCTTATTTTTATGGTTATTTCTTGGTTATATGCTAAACAAGGGATGAATTATTCATGCCTTGCCTTCCCTTTCTAGACCAAATAGGGTAACTTCCTGCCATTACCCAGTTGTAAACTGTCAGGGCACTGGTGGAAGGGTAGCAGTGAGTGTTAGGTGCACTCCGAATGAAGAGATCACCTAAGCAGGATCTGTGTGAGCAACAAGGCTACTTATTCACCCGGGTGCGAGTCGGCTGAGTCCAAAAAGAGAGTCAGTGGAGGGTGGTGGGATAGGAGTAATTGGTTTTATAGGTTTGGGGCAGGCAGTGGAAAGCTACAGAAGTTACAGTTCAAGGCAGTTTTTGCAAGCTGGGGGTGTTGGGGACCCGGTGTCACAAGGTCCAGAGTCATAAGGTTGGGTTATCAGTTAAGGCAGGAATGGCTGAGGCAGGAACAATGGTACAATGTCACAAGGTCAGTTAATTGGGCTTTTCCGGAGCTAACCATTCTTACTTACTTCAGACTTTCTGGCTCCAGGAGGCCTATCCAGAGATGTATGTGCCAATCACGGGGGTTGCCATGGCTCAACTAGGGTATGGCCTATAGTGCAGTCAGTTCAAAGAACCTTGCAGTGAGGACGACCAGAGGTCACTCTTGTGGCCATCTTGGTGTTGGTGGGATTTGGACAGCTTCTTTACTGTGACCTGTTTTATCAGCAAGGTCTTTGTAACTGTATTCTGTGTTGACCTCCTATCTTATCCTTTGACTTAGAATGCATTAACTGTTTGGGAATGTAGCCCAGTAGGTCTCAGCCTCGTTTTACCCAGCTCCTATTTAAGATGGAGTTGCTCTGGTTTAAATGCCTCTGACAATAATGGTGACAAAATGACAGTGAGGTCACACTTGGACACTGCTCCTGGGAATTCATACCCCATTAATGGAAACATAGTAGGGACAATAAAGCATTCACATCCTTTAACAGTCAACTTCTGGAGGCCATCTAACAAAATTGGTAGACACAAGTACAAGGTTTTTTTTTTTTTTTTAATGCAAAGGTTATCACTGTTTTATAATGAGGAAAAATTGGGAACTGTCCTAGACAGAATTTTAAAGATGCTCCTCTACATTCCATGCCCCCAATCTCCAGAAGCTGTGAGTGGGATGAGACACTACTGCTGCTAACAGTGCGACGGGCTCTGTGATCTGGCATGCTGGGCCTCTCATGAACCCTTAAAGCAGAGAACTTCTGCTGGCAGCAAGAGCAGCCAGTTAGAGGGATTCCAAACCCGAAAAGGTTTCGTTCAGTCCCCCATGCCTTGAAGATTGAGGTGGCCAGGTGATGAAGAATGGAAGGGCCTTTAGGATTTGACAGCCAGTAAGGGAACAGACCTCAATCCTACAACCACAAGGAACTGGATCCTGCCAACCTGAGGAAGATGGAGATGGATTCCTGCCCAGATTCTCCAGGTAAGGAGCCACCGTCTCACCTGGAGAGAGCCCAGGCAGAGACCCAGCTGAGCCACCACGACTGTGAGATAATGAATGGATCTTGTGAGTGCTGTTTGTGGTCATTTGTTATGTTGCCACAGGAAATTAAAATGCAGCAGAAACAAATACACTAAACTAATAGAAAGTAGTACACGATAGAAAATTGATAAACAAGTTAGATGATTTAAACACATAATGTAGATGTGTAATATAATGGAATGCTGGCAGTGCCCAGAAATCAGGTCTTCGAACCACACTTAGGTATAAGGGGGCAGAAGAGCTCAGGTGTTGTGTATAAATACAAAATTTATTTTAGGGAAAAGGGGTTTGATTTCAATAAAGATAAGAGTTTGTGGGCATTTTAAATTGAATAGCAACTGTAGCAAGAATGCATTTCCTTTCCGCATAGGTTTCAAAACCGCATTTTCTGCAAAATGTATGGGTTTACATACACAGTGAAAGTTGAGATCTTTTCTTATTTTTTTGAGATGGAGTTTCACTCTTGTCGCCCAGGCTGGAGTGCCATGGTGCAATCTCAGCTCACTGCAACCTCCACCTCCCAGGTTCAAGCGATTCTCCTGCCTAAGCCTCCTGAATAACTGGGATTACAGGCATGCACCACCATGCCTAATTTTTGTGTATTTAGTAGAGACGAGGTTTCACCATGTTGGCCAGGCTGGTCTTGAACTCCTAACCTCAGGTGATCCCAAGTAATTGCTGCAAGTTACATGACGCTTAAGTGAACATTGTTGGCATCATTGCCAGGGCTATTGCTTATTATTTTCCTCAAAGATGATCATTAATTTAGAAATCTTGCCCTATGTCTAACCTAAGTGGGAGGCACCTGTTTCCCCATGTCCCTCAGTCTGAGAACAGGACTGTCTCCTTTTCCCAGTTTCTCATCATCTCCTGTCCCCAAGAACTTGTAAAGCTTTAGAGCAGCCAAATAGAGACTCAGTTCCATGGGTATGCCTAGGCACTGGGACAGCAAGACTTGGTCTGGCTTTAGCTGCTTCCTGTAGATATCTTCCCATGGATGGAACATGTGATGTGCACTGTCTTATTTGTGAAATATCCAAGAGCTTGCATTTTGCACACTTTAACTACAGTACCTATGGATAACTGCATATACTCCAAGTGTGTAAAGACATAATAAGTACATTTTGTTAATACACAGAAGAGAAGATGTAACATGAACATCTAGGAAATCATCTTACATGTGAATACTTTCTTCTGAGTGCTGGTAATTCCCAATATTTCAAGAACATATTTTCCCAGAGTCACTCACATTATTTTTCTTCCTCCCTGGACTAATTTTGAATTTGAATTTTATTCTTTGGAAAATGATATAGAATTCACATGACTATCTATGCCTGAATCACTGTGCATAAAACACAGACCTTGGGAATAGTTTATATGATAATAGCTTACTTTTAATAGTAAAGACTGGAAAGAATTACTCTGTAGCATTTATTGTGCAATTATAGTATTTATTGTGTAGTATATGTTGTGCGATTACAGGCCATTTTTTTGCTTCTTTATACTTTTTAATTTGAAAAACAAATGTTTTTTAAATCTGATAATTTTGTAACCAAATAATAGTTTTAACAAAAGAAAAAGGTAAACTTTTTAAATAACTTACACAGGAGGAACTAGTTCATAAAACTTAGAAATGTTTAAACACACTACAGAGTAAATAAATTCTTATCACTCATGGAGAACGTCCAGTGACATGTGAAGTCCCTGTCTAACTGCAGCCACTGTATCTAACCCTCCTGTGAAGGATCTCACTCTCGGTCTGTCGGAAACCTCCGAAGAAATGTGGGTGTTTCCAGGGAGAACCCAATTACTCATCAGGAATATTTTCCACCCACCCTGCAGATCTACAGTAAACTTTTCACCTTTCTCTTAAAACTGAACATACTAGACCTTGCATGCCCTTAGAATCTATCACGTCCTATCTTTTAAGCCAGTCTGAGATTTCATCTAGGGGTTGCCCTTTTCGCTTTGACTCTAGGTGCCAGCCTACCTGCCCACACACTTGAAGACGGCAGTGTAGGACTAGGCTGGAAATGTATGCATTCTTTTTAGAAAGAAAAAAGCAAACTTTTTAGAGTGGAAGATGCAAACATATCAGTAAACTCTAGCTCTGTATACCATAACATGTCCACACACATAGGTCTTGCTGAGGCGTCTGTACTTGGGAGATTTGATGGCGGTTTTGTGTTAAACTGAAGCTACCTGGACAGCTCTTTCTTCTTCCTCACAATATGTATTACCTTCATGTTATTGATGACTTGGCTGGGACCCTGATGTGAGGCAGGGAGCGCAGCACTGGAGAGGGAGAGTGTAGGGGGTTAGCCCATGTAACTGCTGGAGTTTCAGCTCCTCTAGCCCTACACACTAAACAACCACAGCCAGCATCCTCAGATTTCCAGAATGCCTTCCAGGTGAGAATAAGGGTTTTAGGGCTTTCCTGGAGTGGCATTTCAGGCTCACTAGGACACCTATCCTGACCCTGATACTAGGTGTGGTGACTCCTAGAGCCTTCCCAGCCATGCAGTGTGGGTGAGCTGGCCTCTGAGTTCCCCTGAGCTTCCTTGCCTTTATCTGCAAACATCCTAGGATCCCACAGTCTGGTTTCTTTTACAGCCTATTGGAGAAGGAGGTGGGTACCCTCCAGGGGTGGGACTGTGGGCACTCCCCTCCTCTTAAAACCTGGTCCCCCTTCCACATACAGGAAGGAAACATACATCCCTCACCATTGGTGCTCCGATGAGACTGCTGTGACCATAGGGTTGGAAACCCACCATCCAGTGCAGAGGATTTTTTCCAGTTCCTGCCTCATGTCTTGAATCCTGCTATCCTGAATATGCTCATAAGGCATTGGCCCAACTCTTTCTTGAGGGTGATGGCAGGAGGGAAGGAAGGATGGAGGTCCTCACCCAGACATCAGCTCTACACTTTACATCAGTCTGGGATGGGGTTTCCTCATGATTCGGGGAAGGAAGCAGAAGCTGAGGCTCCGACAAGCAGACTGTTGTCCTCAAGACCACAGCTGGATGGTAGAAAACCCAGGGCTCAAGTCATACACCATGCAAAGCCCTGTCTTCTTTAACCTGCCCTCTCTGCTAACTGTCATCAACGTCTGTGATGAGGGCCTCCCAGAAGCACATTTACAGGCTGAATAACAGGATCTTCTCAAACCCATTCTTCCCACCCCATGGAGAAGGGCAACAGCACTGGGGGTCAGCCCAAGGAGGGCACCGTGTGGACAATTAAGCCAGCCCCAGGCAGGCAGCTCTGGAGCACCCCACCTTCCCATCCTGGCACCAAGCACTCACTCGGCTTCGATGGTGAGCTCGTGCTGGGTGGCTTCCTCGATGTTCTGAAGCATGTAGATCTCCCACTGTCGCACGCGCTCCATCTGTTTAGAGGAAAGGCATCACCTCATAGCAGCATCCATCTTTACTGGAGACAAGCTCTTCTGCTGCAAAATGTGCTTAAGAAAATAAATACCCACCCAGACCTGCAGACCTTCACCCAAGGTCTGCAGGTGGTCCAGTCAGTCCTATAGGATTCTGCCTCTGTGTGCTTCAAACATACATCATATGGGACTCACGTGGAGACAGATGAGTATAGGTGAATGGGGTAAGGTACAGATGAGGTCTGTCTGACAAAGGAGGGGACAGGGAAAAGAAGTGCCAGGGAGAGGCCAGAAAGGCTATGAGCATGGAGTGCAAGAGCCTGCATGGAAACAGGTGCATAGGTCAGTCTAGATGGGATTTTTGCAACAGTGCTCTCCAGAGGCCCTTCTTCTAGGAGGCTGTTCAGGGCAGCTGCAGCAGGGAAGGAAGGAAGCCTCCCCTGTGCAGCACAGGGAAGACAAAGATGGTGTAATTCCTGACACTAAACATAATACCAGGACAGAGTAGAGATTGGAACCTGGCGATTTCGGGTGGCTTAGCTAGATCATGTGGGGAGTGGCCGGGGTCCACTGGCCAAAGATGGCAGGCCCACTGTGGGCAGCCATCAGCCTCTTCCTAATGTCCTGAAAGTGTAAGACAGAAGAAAACCCATAGGACTGACAATGAGGAATGTGAGGAGCCTCCAGAGGGCCAGCTGTGAGAGCAGAAGGCCCGAGCCTGAGCCAGCAGGAGCCACCAGGAGGCACAGCGACTCCTGCTGGAGCAGAGCCGGAGTGGCCAAGGTTCCAAGCACCACTGCAGGCCAAGAGAGAGAACCAGGCTGGGGTCTGTGAGACCTGTGATCATCCAGCAGGAAGATCAGCAAATTCCCAGTGACCCCCACCTGCCTGAAGCGGGGGCTGCCCTCCTAGTGCCCAGCATTCATGTCCATCCACAGAGGGTGACCTCCAGGGAGGCTGCTGAGAGCTGAGGCTCTCAGAGGGCTGTGCACTACAGGTACTGCCTGGAACTCCCAGGAACTCACAGTTTGCCACAGCGACTTAGGAAGATGCAATAGCCTCTGACCCCGCAGAGGGGCCTCGTGGGCATCCAGGCTCAGCTGGGGGTAACTGGGATGCTTCATTGGGAACATTCAAAGCATGGGTTCCACAATAAGCTCTACCCATGGTGAGACCTGCAGGCCCCTTCTCACCTTCAGCTCCCAGAATACCCCATCCAGTCCCACCTCTCCTGGCAACAGGTGGGAACATTAACCCATGGGGATGCTGACTAGCAAGAGGTGGCTGATGTGGTGCACTGAAGCAGCAGTTGAGCCCCGGGTGGCCCTTGGTGGACAGTTCCTACTCAGAACTTGAGACCTTCCATCAGCTCCCACCCGGCCCTGTGACGGCCCCCTCCAAATAGGGAGGCAGTGGCCAGGTATGGCCACAGGACAGCAGGGCATGGAAGAGAGGCTGGAAAAAATCCACAGCAAAATCAGCACCCTTGGAAGGTGAGAGAAGACAGCAAGCAAGCCAGGGAAAAGAACACGGGGGAGTGCGGTGCGAGAATCCTAGAAAATATCGTCATCACGCAGGAACCTCGAAAGTCAGAACTGAGCAACTCTTCTAAAAAGTAGAAGAAAAGGCTAAATAGCAAATAGAAAAGAATCTCAAACAATCTATCAGGATGTCCAACATCCAAATGCAGAGGATCAAGACAGAGAAAACAGAGGTCCTCCAAAGTTACAAAAGAAAACTACGGGGAGGTCTCCCAGAGTCAAATGGGCCGAGGGAGTGTCCAGCACCTCAGCAAGACTAGTCACCCCAAAACAAAGCTCAGCACCACCAAGAACCACAAAAGGGACCTGGAGAGGCTTAGGCAGGTAAGAGTCAGGTATGGGGGCACACAGGGCCTTCCAGTTCTGACGAAGAGCTCCCAGCCTGCTGGCTGGAAAAGTGCCCCTTCTCAGGAAACTACTAGAACAAGGCCAGTGAATAAACCAGCAAATGGGCAAAGAGGTGGAACTCTGCCAGGAGAGGGCCAGGGCAGCTCCCAACTGCCTGCTACCCTGGGGATCAGAGCCCATGTAATCCTCTTTTCATTGGGTCCTTTCGGCTTTATAGCATCTCCAATTAGCAAAGGAAGAGGATGACCTGTGAGAGACAAAGATGGGTCTCAGACAGTGTGTGCCCTGCTGGTTCTCCAGCTGTGGCAAGGGCCTACAAACCTGGCTATGGTGAAGGTGGGACATCCCTGTCACAGTGGCCCATGGGAAGGCACTGGAGTCACCCTCTCCAGGTCCTTAGAAACTCAGGAGTGCTCCAGGAATGTAATAGCTCCCTCTTCAATGCATAGGAAGAAGCCAAGAGACTCAGCACAACAAGGCAAATTTTTACTAGAGTAGTCTGCTTTCTGCTATTCTGTAGCAAGACGACTTATAGACCTTCCCTGTCCCAATATGGCTGCAAACCCCCCAAAGATGAAAGAGAGTCACTACCCAGACTCCTGTGAGCTAAACAGCAATGGCAAAGCAGCCAGCCACCAGCAGCCTGGGTCTGAATGTCGGACCACGAGGCCAGGAAGCTCATGTTCGCCACAGGCAGCACTAGTCATGGGGGCCCTTAGAGCAGAGAGCTGTCTTGGGACAGGGCAGCAGCAGGTGTCCGAAAGGTTGAAAGGCCTTGATCTGGTCCCATGTGACCTCATGTGCAGAGTAAGGGCGTGTTGGCCCCCGAAGCCACAGCCATGGGAGAATTAATTGGGGGAAGGAGGGTGTCGAGCGCTCTATGGCCCAAGCAGTGCTCACTCCCCTAAACTTCAACAGGGACCCAGAACTCCTGGGGGACAGGGATGGGGACAGGGACAGAGATAATGCATACCGCAGCTGCCCGCTTCTTCGGGTCTCGTCTCTTCCTCCCAGCTGTGTCCAGGATCCCAGGCAATCCAGGGTTTTGTGGCCAGCTCTTTGCCTGGAGGGACTCCTGCTGCTGCTGCTGCTGCTGCTGGGCTAATGAGGCCGATGTGGGCGGCCTTTCCCCAGGAGCTGAGAGGTCCATGCTAGACTCCTTGGAGGCCCAGATAGTAGAAAGCCTCCTTTTCCTGACAGTGGCTGGAGGGCTAAACCCTGATGGGTGGGATGCAAGGTCCTGAGAGAAGTGTGCAGGTATTGGAGACCCACTGGGATAGGAGGTATCTCCTGGTGGCCCCCGGCTCTGGCCCAGGGCTGCCTCCACAGGGGTGCTGTGTTTCAGGGGCTTTCTCAAGGTGGGGCTCTTGGTCATTAGAGAGAGGCTGTCATCCTCAGGGGAGCTCAGTCCTGGATTCTGCAAAGTAAAAACAGAGTTTTAAGTCCTAGAAGGTTGTGGGGAGCCTTGAGACGGCACTAAATCCTGACCCTGGGCGCATTCTCACTTAAGCATAATGACCCCGTGAAGCAGACCCAAGTTGTCACCTGGAGAGGAGAACGTGCAGCACCCAGGGGCAGAACTGCAGGCCCCGAGATGGAACCCTGTGCAGGGCTAGACCACACCCCTCTGTGCTCGCCTTTTCATCGACATTATTATCAAAACAGTAAGCATTGGTCAGAGATGTGTTTTTCAAGGATAGGATTAAAGCATAGTTAACTTTAAGGTAAAAATTTTTTTCCACCAAGAAAAATCTGCAAGGCATTGTCAATGAAATCGTTTTGACGTGTAGACTCACCACGTAAAAAGGCAAACCTGTTGACAACTTTGTAGTATTTTATGAACAAGTAAAGCACGTTGGGCAGGTGGCTCACAGTAGGTGGCATGTGCCCTGGAGGTAACATCCCAATTCCAAGCCCCAGGAAGAACTGTAGTGATTCCATCACAGCCAATGGTTTCTTCCAAAAGAATGCCTTGATTAAGTGAATCATGCTCCTGCACTCACACCCTTTTCTCAGATGCTGATGAACTATATCTGGCAAGCACGTTTCTGTTCACCATAAGGTATGTGCCTCTGCAGTGCCTGCTGAAATCTGTCCATGTCAAAGTGGCCTGACAGCAGATGGAGTTGTCCAACTGCTTTGTAATGATCTCTTGGTGTCTCAGACACACACATGTATGCTCCTAACTGCCATCCCTGCTCATCTGGCTGATTTACTACCTATTGAAGTAACTGCCAGAGCAACACCAGATTTTTCATTTTATGTTTAATCCCACTCGAATGGAACAATTTCCTGCATTTATTTTTTGGTAGTAGGAGTAACAGTGCCCAGTTACAATGTCTGCTGCTGGCAATGACATCCTAAATCTAGTAAGGGAGACACTGTCATTTAGGGTGGACAAAGAAATGGGAACTTTTCTAAAAGAAGAGAATGTAGTAAGAAAATGGGATGATTTTGACATTTCCTGATACATGTCTGCCAGTACTGTATGATTAGCAAGTGCATGCCCATTGCCTGGACAGAGCCAGCAATCACGGAATGCAGAATGTACCTGGGAGACATTCAGGAAAGTACATCCCTAAAAGCAGGTCCCCTCCAGTCTAAGGTGAAAGCCTAAGGACTGCACTCAGGAGTCCGCCGGCTCAGGACTGTCTGTGGCTTCTTCCTGGGGAGATAACTGTGTTATAAGTTCAAGGACACCACTACTTTGCTAAATTATTGTATGCATTGTGCACAGAGATTATCTGGTAGTTAATTTTGGGGGAGGCACAGCTAGAAAGCATTTTGATGATGGTGAAATAAAGAGCTAAGATTCTCTTAGAACAAAGAGATAGATGAGCACTTGCTTTAAACCTGAGCTGGAATAGGAATATCCATTTAAAGTGGTGGGAAAGTGTACTAGTTATTTACTGGGTAACGGACAGATCAAAACTAATTGGCATAAAACAGACATCTGTAATCATGACTTCTACAGGTCAGGAATTTGGGAGCAGCCTCTCTGGGCAGTGCTGGCTTAGGATTTCCCATGAGGCTGTCATTGAGGTGTTGGCTTCATTCGTCTGAAGATTTGACTGGGGATGGAGGGTCTATGCCAAGGTGGCTTACTACCCACATGACCTACAATTTGGTGCTAGCTATTGGCAGAAAGAAACTGAGGCCTCTCCATGGGGTGTTGAGCATCCTCCAGAGACAGAACTAGTCTCCAGGGAGAGTGGGCCAAAAGAGCACAACATGGAGGCTGCAATGTCCTTGTATAATCTAACTGCAGAAGTGACACTCCTTCATTTCTGCAAAATCCACTGCTTGCACTAGTCAGCTTTCTTCAATATAGCTTCAAAACTCCACAAACTCATGACTACCAAACTGTGATGGTGACTGAGGGTCATCTTAGGAACTGACCGACATAGAAAATATAGTGATGATCACATTTATGGAGAAACCAGAGTCCCTGGTCTGTGGCTTCCCCCTTTCCATTCCCAATGTGAGGCCTCAGGACTCCGCTCACTCTTCAGAGCACAAATGACAGGACATAGAATGGAAAGAGTCTCACATTACTCTAGGAGACGAGTCCTGTATTTTTCAAAGCCAGCTCTCTGACATGGTTTTTGCATCCATTCTAGGCAAGACTCTTCCTCAACCACCCCCCATCAGCTTTCAGGGAAAGGGGCTGTAGCGCTTCAGCACAGCTCTAATTTGTAAGTGAATTCACCTTGTTAAAGTCAAACAACACAGAAACAAACAAGTTATACTAGTAAGTATGGTAGAAAATCCAGTCTTACCCCTTCTCTAGTCCTTCTCCCTCTAGGTAACTTCCTTTAGCAATGTGTTACCTCTCCTTCCGGTACATTTCCATGTAAGCAAATGTGACGCAGGCGTCCCACATACAAAGGGGAAAACTTAGCTAATTGCATACATGGTATCATCATACGCTTCATTACATAGTTTTTTACATCCTTGATGATTTCCCATGTCACTGACTCTTTTGAACAAAACATGCACAATAGAATATTTGGACGTGGCATAACGAGATAGTATAAAAACATCTATGTGTTTTACTTCCCACTAAGGCCTTAGAATGAGGCCAGGGCAGAAGCGGTTTGAAAACAATGTGGTCTAGGGAAGGTTCTTCCTGGAAGCATCTATTCAGCAGAGTGTGCTGGGACATTTAAAATCTGTTCTCACTGATTTCTTACAGCATTCTTATGAGGTGAGTGTGACTGCAGTCAAGTCCGCAAGGGAAATATTCAAACCCAGATGGTTGATTGGCCTGAAACAGAGCGGCAGCAACAATGAGATGTGAACTGGAGTTGGTAAAAACAAGGCTTCCCCAGGAGCAACTGTTCTGCAGAGGTCTGGCTTCACACCCCAAACCCCTCAGGCTTGGCCCAAAAGAAGGGAGGGAGTGCCTCCTCCTTTCGGGTTGATGAGTTGATCACAACAATTTATAGAGCTTCTACTGTGTCACTCTTGGGGTATGTTTATTTTGTACATTGTTTCCTTCAGTAAAACCTTTAAAAATGGATTTGTTTCAACTCCAAATAACCTGAAGGAGAGGATTTACTCCAAGCGTGAGTCAGCATCAGAAACTGCCACGCTGCTTTCCAACCTGCCTGAACCATTTTTCCGCCCCACCAACCAGCATTCCTTACATCGCTGGTGGGCTGGAAGAACGGTACAGGCACATTGGAAAACTGCTGCTCTACCGTTTGGCTGTTCCACATCCTTCTTTTTGTGTTTTTTGCGATGGAGTCTCGCATGATTGCCCAGGCTGGAATGCAGTGGCGCAACCTTGGCCCACTGCAATCTCTGCCTCTTGGGTTCAAGCGATTCTCCTGCCCCAGCCTCCCAAATAGCTGGAATTATAGGCATGTGCCACCACATCTAATTTTTTGTACTTTTAGTATAGATGGGTTTTTGCCATGTTGGCCAGGCTGGTCTGGAACACCTGCTCTCAGGTGATCCACCCACCTTGGCCTCCCAAAGTGCTAGGATTATAGGCGTGAGCCACCACGCCCAGCAGTTGCTCTACATTCTTACCAGCATTTGGCACACCCAATGTTTATTTTTTTAAAAAGTTTTCTGACAGGCTAATAATGGCATCTCGTTTGCACGAGGGGCATATTACTTGCATAGTGGTTTTGATTTGCATTTCTGTACTAAGTCTTTTCATGTGTTGATTTACCATTGCTATGACTCCTTTGGTAAGCTAAAAGAACTAAGAGCCAAACATACTTTTCATGTTAATAAAGGCAAACAATAAACTCACCTATTACAACACTACGATGGGATTAGAAAGCAGAATCCAGTTATACCTTGTGTACAGTGAGACGTATCTCAGACAAAGTACTGTAGAAAGATTCAAGGTAGAATTATGGGCAAAGGCGATGCCATAGAAGTAAAAATGAAAAAACATGGACATTAATATTTATATTGGAAAAGGTTGAATTTATGGCAGAATATGTTAAATAAGACCACACTGAAAGTACAGTGTAATAAAAACCAAAACCAAAATGCATAGCTGTTATGATTACTTTACAACAGACAATATAGCATCAACATTCATAGAGCAAAACCCTCGGAAAAAATAAAGGAAAAAGAGAAATAAAGTAGTAACTGAGACTAATTCACCTTTGTAAGCCCATGCTAGATCACAGCTGGAGGGGGACAGGGTCAAATCCCATGGAAGATTATCTTGTTTCTTGGAGGATAATCAGCACTTGGAAAGGAGACTCTAAATTCTTTTACTTCAAAAGATGAGATCTCAGAGTAAAGTTAAGAAACGGGGGTGAGAAGAAAATCTGCGAATTCTTGCAAACAGAAACTGCAAGGTAATATGTTTTTATTACCAGAAACTACTTTTAACCTATTTACAGAAGTGAACTAACATCAAGAATTAAATGTTGATAATTTGAGATTTTCTGATAAAATATTGTAACATATGGAAAGCTTACAGAGAAAACAATTTGGTATTGTTTTACAAATATATGCCCAGAACAGATGACCCAGACATACACATGAGGACTTCATGTGGCAAAAGGTACATCTCAAATAATCAGAGAAGAATGTTTTTGTTCTCTTTCATCATGTGTTCTTCTGGCTGATTGGCGACTTGGGGAAAAAAAATCAACAGTGAAGCCAAGTCCCTATACCTCATGGCTTACACTAAAATAAATTACAAGGCATCTAAGATTTTAAAAATTCATAAATTACCAGAAAATAAAATGGAAAAAACTTTAAAAATCTGAAACAAAGTTGGGTTCTTATATCACATTGTTCACCAAGACAAATGCCAAGTGGATTAAAGGCGTACATGTAGAAAACAAAGCCCTCACAGTATTGGAAGGAAATATCAGTGCATTTTCTATAAGCTTATGTAAGGTTTTGCTATGACTCACAACATAGAAGCCATAAATGAACTAGACTACATGCAAACTTTTAAAACCTTTTACAAAAAAGGAAAGAAAAAAGATGCACCAATGAAAAGATAAAAGATGAACCACAATTTCTGTAAAAGAGAGACAAGCAGCGAATCATTTAGAAAAATGCCCAACAACCTGATGGAGAAATCCACAAAGTTTCTGAACAGGTCACATAAGCTGGTCCTTCAGTATACACACGCTGAACCTCATTCTCAGGAATAAAAATGCAGATCAGAATGAAACCAAAGTCCCATTTGGTTTTAACTATTGGACTTTTAAAATTTAGAAGTATGAACACGTAAGGCAGAGAGGAAATTGGAACATCTTCTGTGGAAGGCAATTCGGTAGCACTCAGATGTGTTAAGTTAGTATTTTATTTGGCCACCAACTCCTTTCTGGAGAGTTACTCTACAGAAGGATATTCTTGAAGCAGCTAAAAACAATGTTTCCTTAGGGTGGGGGAAGGGCTGAGTGGAGGACAGCAGCCGTCACTGTGGATCTTATGCTTTTGATCACTTTTGAAACCATACGCATGCATTTTCTATTTATAAATAAAAAATAAGAAAAAGAATCCCTACTTCTCTGAGAGAAGCCCGGGCACAGGGAGATTAGGAATGGGGGCCCAGGGCTGCCAGGTTGGAGACGGAGTTACAGAGCTGTATGCAATGCCAGGTGCTAAGGACAGGTTTTAACTTCAGGTGGGATTGCGATCCACTTCTGCAGGATGGCATTTCCTTTTGCACTGTGCCCTGGGGCTGCTGGTCCCCTCGGTGGCCTGGCTTTCTTGAAGCGCTGTGGCTAAGGTGGCTCTTAATGCTAAGGTTCCAAAGTCTTCATGAGACAAGCCAGGGGAGGAGGAGGACCAATGCCCAGTGTCTCTGGACAGGACACCCGACCCCACCTGATGTCACTGAGATTGAGCATGGGCTCTGGGGATTCTGGAAGGTCCAGGACACACCTGGGGCCTCAGAGCCCAGGCTGGGGAGATGTGGAGGCCCAGGGGCTCTGGCAGAAGGTCTGTCTTGCAGGCCATGATGTGGACATCAAGAGGAGACTCTGGGTAAGGCTCCCGAGGACCCCAGGGTATTAACGCCTGGCCTGCCCAATTCACAGGCAGCCAGGACCAGGCCACAGCTTTGTTCCAGCTCAGGACAGGGCCAGGACTAAGGCCAGCCCTCACCCAACAACCTCCTGCTCTGGCGGCCTTGAGCTCCCTCCCTTCCTACCCACCTGTCACCTCTTACTGTATCTAGCTAGATCTCACTCCCAGGCTGCACCCCTCCCTACCTACCTGTGCCCCAGCCTCCATCCTGCTTTGCCTCTGGGGCTGGCTTCCAAGTGGACAGTTGCAGCACCCACCCTGGGGCTTTCAGCGCCAAGAAATACCTGCTGTGTCTTCACTTAGACCCAGGCAGGTGTGCAGGAACCCACCTGAGCCCAAGTGAGCCTGATAGCCACACCACTGCGCAGGTGCGGGGTAAGTTTCCCTTGCCCTCTAGCTTTTCCCCTTGTTGGTTTCTGTCGTGTGCACCTGAGCCTGTGGGAAGTGAAGGCCGGCAGGGGCACTTGTGGGCACCCCAGCAACAAGTCACCTGTGCCAAATACTGTTTGATGAGCATCCTCACAAAAACTTAAAGGAATGGCGAGTACCACCCGACTCAATCCACAAGGCAACTGAAAACAAACACACTGTGAAGCTGAGAAGACCCACAACGATTGGACTTCGAGATATGTTTCCCTGCAGAAAACTCCTCACCAGTCCTTCATTTAGTGCTTCTCAAACTTGAGCTGCTCAGAACTTCCTGGGGCCTAGTTAGAGCTGGGAGTGCTGGGCCAGCCCCAGTTCCTGATTGAGCGGGTCTGGGCGGGGACCAGTGATTAGTATCACCTGACGACTCCCAGGCACTCCTCTGCTTTAGGTTCACTTAGGAACCACTGCATGAAGGAAAGGCAACATGTGCCACACAGTAATGGTAAATTAATCTTTACCAATCTATACGAAAGCTGAGCTATACTGATAGCAATCTCTTGCCATGCCTTAAGCTTTGTGGGGGATGCAACTGAATAGAGCCATTCAGAAGCTGGTAATGGCCCGAACGATCCCTGGTAGTTTGTTCTCAGACATAATCTCAGTTTTCTAACAACCCCAAAGCAAAGTGTTTAGTATGCCTGCTTTATTTTATTATTCATTGACTCACTTTTTGTTGGTTTGTTTTTGAGACAGTCTTGCTCTGTCTCCCAGGCTGGAGTGCAATGGCATGATCTTGGCTCACTGTGACCTCTGCCTTCCAGGCTCAAAGGATCCTTCTGCTTCTGCCTTCTAAGTAAGCTGGGACTACAGGTGCATGCCACCATGCCTGGATAATTTTGGTACTTTTTTGTAGCGATGGGCTTTGCCATGTTGCCCAGGCTGGTCTCGAACTCTGTGAGATCCGCCTGCCTTAGCCTCCCAGTGTACCAGGATTACAGGTGTGAGCCACCACGCCCAGCCAGTAAACCTATTTAAATAAGGGAAAGACGGACCACAGTGGTGCGGCAAATTGCTGGAGTTCAGCTAGTGGTATTCAGCAGAACCGAGACAAGAACCCAAGACCGTCTGACTCCAGAATAAATGCTTTTTAACCCTTGCTACTCTGTATTATTTTTCTGAATTTTGCCACTAAGTTGCCGTGTGATTTTCGTGAATGAATGCTGTCACTGGCTCTCTCCTTTCTCTGTGACATGAAATGCTATGTGAGGGCTTTACCAACTCTGAAACATCTGCACATAGGAGCCTAAATGAGGAGGTGTGGCTACAGAGCTAAGGGACTCCCAGAGCCCAGGCCTGCGTGCAGCACGCAGAGCTGAGGCCTACAGTGGATGCTCACCCTCACCCTCTGAAAGTTCGCTTTCAGAACACTCGATGGCAAGAGAAGTTGAGATCCCTGAATCCTGAGTTCTTCCAAGGCTTCAGAGGGCACTAGGGAGGGTTTGCCAGACAGCAGGCAGCCCCTATGAGACCCATCCCAACTTGTACTGGTTGGCACAGAGCAACACAGCCAGGTGACTGGCTGCAGGTTCAAGTGCTGGAGGTGGCTCGAAAGTGTTCTTGGGGTATAGCCTTTCTGGAATGCAAGTTGGTGCTAATGTACGATACACTTAAAAGCATGGATGGGCTGGGCGCGGTGGCTCACGCCTGTAATCCCAGCACTTTGGGAGGCTGAGGCGGGCGGATCACGTCAAGAGATCGAGACCATCCTGGCCAACATGGTGAAACCCCGTCTCTACTAAAAATACAAAAAAATTAGCTGGGCATGGTGGCT